GCTTCATGGATAATCACACGCGCCGCCAAAGCTTTTGGAGAATCGAATCTCAAACGCGATAACGAAAGCTCTCTAATGACTCAAGTTACTGCATGATTGTTTTATAATTTTAATAAAACTAATTTCTTCTAATTTTAAATATGTTTTCCCTGAATTCGTGATTATTCGTCGTCATGCATGGACTAAATGCGTGAAAAATTTAAGATCACGCATGTGTTTCCGCCAAATGCGTGTTCCATCCAAAATCACTTTGAAGCGGGACTGTCCCGCATGATGCGCGAGAGACGGTTGGTAATGCGTTTTGTAAGCCAGGAACCAACAGTATTTTGTTACGTTTCTTCACAGAGGGGGGTTCGTCCGAACCCCTTGAACCCCCTGGATCTGCCACTGCTTTCCATTGACACCAATCATGACCATGTTTTATGTGGTGCGTCAGCCATCTTGAAATTTAAAATGGCTGCCGATTACTTTGGGGAAAAAATGGCACCTAACTTTTTTGAATTCAGCGCAGTAAAAATGATAAAATTAGTCAATAAAATCTATTTTTGCTCAAAAATCTATCTGGATTACATAGAAAACTAGCTTATATACTCGNNTTATATACTCGTTCTTATTTTATGTACATTTTAAGTAAGTATATTTTGCGATTATTTTTAGACCTATTTTTAAATTATGTTCCATTCTGGCTTGAGTGACAGTAGTTTTTATATGTCTAGATTGTTGCCTGTCTAGAAATTATGAGTTTAGACACCAAAATAATATCTGTAGCTTATTTAGTTTCAATTTTATGCACATTTTAGATAAATTTAGCGGCCATTTTAAAAAATGGCCGCCATTTGTATACAAGAAGTAAAATCAAGTGTCAACAGGGCTTAGGGTGACCAGAAGGGGTTAATTAGGATATCTGGCTATGTGGATTGCTTCTAACATTCCACTCCCCCTAACTCATTTTTTCCAGATTTTTTTTCTAGTCTATATATAATAATGTACAATATTTCTGAGTGTATTTCTTTTTTTTTTTTTTTTTTAGAATCTGGATTTATATTGCACCTATTACAGACTGAAGGATATACAGGTACCCATTTATAATCCTGTGTGGAGAGAGGCAGACGTAAGTAAAGTGCCTTGCTCAAGGACATAATCAAAGTGATGCATGTCGACGCACCAAGGATTACCTACTACAGACTGAAGGCTTTTTCCAGTTGGATCCTTCTGGTAGTTAGCCTTACAAAAGTGTTTTAATGGTGAGGATAGTTTTGGTATTTACAAAGATGGAAACCAGAACGCTACTGTAACAAAGCAATTACTTTTAATAGCTAGCGTCCCCTCCACTTTACAACAGTCATTGTTATTGATAAATCAACGTGGCAGAGAAAAAACACCAATAACTGTGTAAACGCACGTTTACTTACCAAGCACTCCAAATTCCGAGAGGGAGCTATTGCAGACAGTGTAGTGTGCCTGGTTTGGATAGAGATGGTTCAGTGGAATTGTGCGTTTCTTATCCGTGTTCTGATCATTCAAAACATGATGACGATGACTGAACAAAAACAAACATGAAAAACAAACACATCAATTATTGATAAGCAGTAAAGTAGCCAGAACAGATTAACACACATTAATATAAACAGCAATCTTTTGTGAATTTTTTCAGGTTATTCTCCACTGATGAAGTTAACACTATAAGCAAAAGCTTGTGTTTTCATTAAGGATTATTATAGTCGATTTACATGATAAAAAAACTGTTATACACATCTTCTGCCACATTTGTGTTATGTGAGCATGAGTCCAGTGTAAGAAGAAAATACATCGCAGAGGACTGTAACTATTCCAACATATTCAGCATGAATTTATCCACATAGTACCTAAATGCAGCTTATCTATCACTGTGGCTTCATGTGTACCTTCTGTCCATTTTACAGATTTCTCAGCAAGGTTTGTATTTTGTCAAAGTCCCATAAGAGGACTTATTTTATCTAAAGAATCATGTTTATATAGTATGAAATTATTGGAACCTATAAGTAGGATGGTGATATATTTCGCTATTGGCAATCATTAGCCTGTGTGCCTAAATATAAATTATTCCAAAAAATAGAGTACAGGTAGTGAACCCAAATGAACGTAACCACAGGTGACCGGTAGTCAACTCACCTGAAGGTGCCCCTCTCCACATCCTGACCACTCAGTCTGATATGAATTCCCTCCTTCAAAAGTGAACCAAACGCCATCGCTTCTCCTAATGCCCAATCAACTGTGCGTTTAGATACAAGTTCAGTTCGTGACTTCAAGGCGCGTTTCAAACCTTAGGTAGTAGCAAATATTATCTAATTATTTTAAAGTATAACAATGGTAATGGGCCAGAAAAAAAAAACTTAGAAGAGATGGACCTCGGGTAACAATGGGTCTAGGGTGACAATTTGCATAGATGGAATACATGTATACAATAAGCAAGGGATGCAAACTGCCAGCACATGCACATGGGAAAAAAGATTAACCAAGACCTGGATAGTGGATTGCATTGGATTGGATTTATTCGGTGTACACGCCAAAGATAACCCACAAAAGTCTAAAGAAGATTTATATCCAGTGGGGTCCTTCTGGTGGTGATTGGGCAGTACACCGGGAGACAATCGCCTACTCTTTAGCGAAAAGCGCACTGCGTTCTTTAATGTGCCTATGGGTAGTGATAACCCTTCATTACTAACTTCAATGCACGCTCTGAAAGATTATAGTCATCCCATTATTTTTTGTTCAAGTCATAAGCATCTGTACATGTTTAACAAGTCAAAAAAAATATAATGATGAATGGGAGAAGTTTAACAACTTACCTCCATGCACAGTAAATCCTTCTGGAATACTCCCAAATTTGTTACCAATGTGGGTCAAGGTTTCCTCATCTACACCGGTTTCTGGGTATTTTCTCTGCTCACCACGAGCAAAGAATCCTAAAAAAAGAAAATGGGCTTCACTTCAATTTAAGTAAAATGAAAACAAGTATCACTTGAGGCAGAATTATAAGTAAGAATAAGGCACACACATGCATAAAATCAATGTTTACAAAAAACAATTGAATTCAACCTTCTCGTTGTCATTATTGTTTATTTTTACATTCAGAATTCTGGAGTACAATACTTAAGATGGCAACTAACTGAGGAAAGTGCTCTCCTGTGCACTGGGGTTAATTTCGACATTCTCACATCATAGCTATGCAGACAATACATTTAGTCAGTAGATATGACTACAAATAGATGAGGCTAAGCTCTGCATTTGGACCAATCACAAAATGGCAAGCTCAGGATGTTATACTTTGAACAGGTATAGCCTGATTAAATTGTACGCTAACATTAACATACTTGAACATGAGAGACTTGCAATTTTAAATACTTATGATTCATTTACCGGTCCATGGTGAATCAAGCCACTCGGCATTGCTGGTCTTGGTCACCAGTTTAGCATCTAAGTAAGACTCCTCACAGATCTTGTCGTAACTGGCCTGCTCCTCCTGCACAAGGAAGGATAAAAATGATGGAAAATGTACTAATGTTCATCATGTTATTTGTGATAAAACTTTGAATATTTTACAAGATTTGGGATAAGGCCAAAAAAAAAATTATTTTGTGTTGCCCTTAAATGGAAAAATCGAGATCGTCAGTCAGATTTTTTTTTTTTTTTTTAATAATACCTGAAATTGGATAGGCCTCAAACTGCAGTCCCTATTATGAAGACCTTAGGCCTAAGGGCTCATAGCTCGTAATACCACGATAGAATGATGGCTAGTTTGCCAAACAAAAAATATTCCAAGTAATGACGGATTAAATACTAACCAAGTGTATATTGAAATCAAATTTAACAAAAATAAATCAGTTTAAGAAATTTTTATTTGGCTTCAAAACGTAAAATAATATGTGTATCCGATCAACAAGATCATGCACAGGCATGTAGAGGAAAACCATACTATGCCTATGACGCCCTCTATGTAATACAATCGAATAAAAAAGAGAGAAACATTTCAGTCATGGTTGGCCTAAAACCGTAACAAAGCCTAAGTCTAGCTACAGTATGTACCAGCTTTAAAACGATGGCTAGACCTAAGCCAGTTTTTATTTATTGTCCAATGTACCGTAAGGTAATAATGAATAGTATGTTTTATTCAAGCAACTACAAGCTGTACAGTAGTAAATAATAGGCTAGGCCTAGATCTGGTCGTGGCTTGACAGCTCAGCGCGAGAGATCCGATATTGCGTGCATATATCGTCGTAGCGCTCGGTTCTCAAAATTATGCCTTCTATTTTACTGATTTTACGTGTACACCTATGTCCCGAATTTGATAAAAATACATGTCTGTTTTTTAGATTTTATCTAAATGTTATTTTTGGCAGTGGTATTTCTCGAATGTGTATGTAACAAAATTTAAAAAAAAAAAAAAAAAAAAAAATGCCTACCCGATTCTTTGGAAAATTTGGTCGGTTACAGAGGGCAACACAACATTTTTTATTATTGGCCTAATGTAAGCCAGTCATACATTGCATGTGCAGACAAATCCGGATTGCATATACCTTGTCGTGTTGCATTCTCTATGATATAGCATCCAACCGACAACAACCATGCAATGTGTGTCCGGCTTTAGAGACAAGTTTTATCTTGGATAAAATTTAGATTGAGATAAGTACTAAAACTTGTTACAATGAATGTGGTTAGGGCATGTGAAGATCAGAAGTCTAAAATTTATTATGATTATGTTTATGATGATAAAGATTTGTGATGAAATTTAGTGATAATATTGCATACTTCAAACTCTTGCTGCGTCATAACCCCTTCTGCTATCTTCGCCTCTGCATACTTCAGAAGTACATTTTTGTGACTGCGAATTTTCTTGTACATAAGTGGCTGGGTGAACATCGGTTCATCAGTTTCATTGTGACCATTGCGTCTATAACACACCTATAGGAATTAAAGAGAATTGGTCAGAAGTTATGTAGTATTTTCCTAAAGCTGTTTTAGCTGTTAATTTTACCGGTAAAAATAACTGGCCAAGCAGTAAATGTTTTGAGATTGCAAATAATAAACCACTGATTAGGCCTAGGTAGTCTAGGCTGGCCTTCTGTCAATAAATGAACATCATTCCAGCAGTCTATATCTAGGCTATGACTGTGTTGTTGTTTTTTCAAGTCATTAAACCCCACTCAACAACGCTTTTTTTTATTTTTATGGACAAATCTACCAGTAAAATGTTTTGATTGGGAGAACACTTATGTTTATTGAGGTATGCAAATACATTCAATACAACATATCCAAAAGTTACAACACACACCAAATATGGAATAATATAGAAAATGACCAATTTGGTAGGTTAAGAGTATAATTATCAGCAAAAAAAAAAAATAAAAAAATAATCAGTGGGGGTGGCTAACAGTACATATTTACTGACACCTATGAACAGGTTGATCTGCTGGTTTCAGCACATCATAGAACAATGAGATAGCTGTATAATAACAAAAATGTGTCTTGATTTTTTTACTCAATTTATATAAATTCGATAACAACAAACTCAATGATAACTTACGAGGTCAATAACAACATCTTTTCCAAACTCGCAACGCCACTCGGAAGCCACATTGCAAACATGCATGACAGCCTCAGGATCATCGGCATTTACATGGAAAATTGGTGCGTTAACCACACGTGCCACGTCAGTACAGTATGGTGAAGAACGGCTGTAACGAGGATCGGTAGTAAACCCAATCTACAGAAGACAAAATATATAGAAAAAAAAGATTGATTTAAGTGCCTCATTTAATGATAGCAGGTGCAGTGGAGGTCCTGCATGTTCAGCTAAAAGCTGATGTCCAGCCTCTATGGCTGATATTTGACCTCTGGTTTGTCGGAGGCAGTTTAACTGGTGTTTGTAGGGTTTCCACCAATTCTGTGGACAATTTCACAAAAAAAAACTCCTCAACAACACAGTGGTTGGACCAACAGGGGAACATGTGGCCCTTATATCTCTTTTACTGTATGCTTATTGTTTATTATATATTTTGTTCAATCACTATTAAATTATATTTTAACTAAACTGCAGCACACCTGATTATTAACCACAACGTGGATGGTTCCGTGCGTTGAGTAATCAGGAAGGTCAGACAAGTGGAAGGTCTCGTACACGATTCCCTGTCCAGCAAAGGCAGCATCTCCATGCAACAGGACACTCATAACCTAATAAGAAGACAATGATTGATGATGAATACTTTTAGAATATCAAAATTAATAATCTCTTATATATATTTACGACGTCTTGTGGTCTCCTGCCAGTGTCCTTAAAAAAATGGCCTTATTTTCTGCATTTTTGATAACTTATCTATATCTGTTTTGTGGTACTTCGTTGTTTAACCCACCTAGAAGATGTAGAGAGCTCCTTTTTGGTGAATTTTGCTATATCTGTCCTCCAATTGCTGTTGTTAATCTTAGCCACAACTATTGCATTACCCAGCCCACTGCAACGAGATGCCACGTGACTTTCAACCCTGAACACACATGTATTCCAGCTATGGCTACTGCAAACAAATGGACAGGGTTTTTGCCTCGATCAGGCCTAATGTGTATCCAATTTTTACTTGCGAATACGAAGTCACTCATTATTACTACCTTGAATCTTAATACAAGAAACTGTGGACGAGCTGTACCTTACTATTCAAATCATGTGGCCTGTCTACGCGAATTAATTGTGCTTAGCGGCGACATCGAACTAAATCCGGGTCCCGAAGATGGACGTTGCCTTGCTATCTATTATCAAAATGTCCGCAGTGTCAAAAATAAGATGGATGACTATAGGTCAGTTTTAATGGCGAATCTAGTAAATGACAAGTATGACATTGTGGCACTCTGCGAAACCTGGTTAAACAAATATGTGGACGACGCCGAACTCGCCTTTCCCAACTATGCTCTATATCACTTGGATCGTCAGAACAATAAACGTGGTGGTGGATTGATGTTCCTGGTTACTGAAAAATATCGTTCTAGAAGATTATTTGAATATGATATTGTGTTAATTCCATTTTTGATACTACTTTATGTTCCTTATTTCCTCTCAAGATCAATAGACCCGGCTCTCGTCGCAATGACCTATTTTTGGTTCCCTTCAACAGAGTCAATTGCACTAAAACTGGTTTTATTCATCGTCTTGCCCTCTCATTTAATAAACTTTCTCATAATTTTACGTTGATCGATATTTTTCACCAGAGTCTTAGTTCATTCAAAAACAGCTTATCGCAATCTTTACTCCATAATACCTAAGTGACTTTTTTTTTCTGGGTGGGTTAATTCCTTAATTTGTGTGTGTGTGTGTGTTTCTGTTTGACCTTTGTTCTGTCCGATTTTCTAATGTAATTTTATCAATAATTTACTTGTTTTGCATTTATTTGTTTATTTTCTTATCTGGATTTTTTTATCTGTATTTTTTTGAACTTGCAATTTTTAGCTTAAGATGTAATTTTGTGCAATTTTCTTGTAAATTTCTCTATTTCATTTCATACTGTAATTTAATTAATCAATTTGTAATTTTGATGTAATTTCTCGCAATATATTTGTAAATTTCTCTTTTCCTTTTTATACTGTAATGTTATTTATCAATTTATCTTTCGCTTGTTTGTATTTTTCTATATATTTATATGTATTATAAGACATCCTGTAATTGGCTTCCGCTGTTGGATGATTTTTGAAATAAATAAATAAAAAATAAAATATTATAAACAAAATAAAAAAACATTAATATGAACATCAGTTCATAAATTTCATTTTCACATTTTTGATATGGACGGCCAACCCAAGGATAACCCAATAAAGTCCAGAGAAGACTTACTTCCAGTGGGCTTTTTCTGGTGGCGATTGGGCAGTACACCAGGGGACAATCCCTACTCTTTTCCAAAGAGTGTAACTGCGTTCTTTAACATGCACATGGGCCATAATACACACAGGACCAACAGCTGTAACGTCCCATCCAAAAGATGGTGCTCTATCGTAACTTGCATTCAGCCCTCCAGCTGAAATACAAGGAGAGCATCGACGGGGATTGAACAGGGAACCAAGATATCGCCACGGTTCAGCGCACACAGTGCCTACCGCAGTTTAGCTGACTGAGCTGAGTTGAATTTCTTTGAAAATAATTTGTTTGTGTTGCTGTTTATCGTAAATAATCAAACAAGCACCACTATTTATTAAGTGCTACTCTTAAACATAAAACATGCTCTTGAATAAGTACAACAAAGTTGTGAAACTATGTATCTGGTTTACCTTCTTTCCCTCAGTATCTCCTTTGTAAAACTGCATCGCTCTTGTCTTGCCTTGCACAACAGGATCAACGGCCTCCAAGTGGGAGGGGTTTGCTACGATGGCAATGTGTATGTTCTTGTTACTGATATGATTATGGCGATCATGAGCCATTCCAAGATGGTATTTAACGTCCCCAGATCCCTGAATGAAATTAAATGAAAAAACAAACAAAATATGACAGGGAAATTTAATGAATTTACTAAGTTATTTAATTCAATTCAGGTTTTATTGTTTAAAAAAGAAATACAAAGCAGAAACAATGCATTGCATTTATAGCATTGCACAGACAAATGATTACAAAAATATGTAAAAAAATGAGTTAAAACAATAAAGTATAAAAAGATGTAGGATGGCATTGCATGAAGGGATTTATTGAGTACTGAACTAATAATTATTATTATTATAACACAAAAAAGCGATATCTGATAATCTCCATTTGCATAAAATATTTAAAATAATATTTACTACTTACCTCATCCGATGCCTCCAGCTTAGAGTCAAACTGACTGAACAGTTGCTCGAGTGGCTTTCTTGCAACATTTGCAAGGACATTGAGGCGCCCTCGATGGGGCATGCCAAGATTGAATGTCTCCACGCCTTTTTCACTGCACACATCGATAATGGTCTTTAAGGCTGGCACTAGCACCTCGCAGCCTTCTAGTCCGAATCGTTTTTCAGCAGACCATTTGCGGGCTAGAAATTCCTCAAATCTGATCAAAATAATGGTAGTATAGTAACAAGCTTAAAATCCAAGGCTACTTAAAACAATAATATTGAAGACATCTAGTTTGGGTTGGAATTCTTGGTTGAGAAACATACTAAAAATGATGCACAGAGAATCATTTTTATTAGTTATTAACAATAATAACAATAATAACAATAACAATAATAATAATAATAATAATAATAACAATAATATTTTTAACATTTACTGGAGTCTCACAGCGCTTAAAAAGTATGAACAATGAAAAAAGTTGAGTTTTAAGAAGAGATTTGAATTGAGAAAAAGTTGGAGCATAACGGATGACAGTGGGAAGTTGGTTCTAGAGAAAAGGTAAAAATGCGTAAAAGCCTTTAGGGACAGATGTTAAATTTGTTTTTGGAGAATACAGCATGACAAATCAAGTTTAGAACAAAGGCAGACATGTAAAGGTGTATAATAAACAGAGTTATAAATTCTAGAAGGTAAGATGTAGCAGTATTATGTAGGCACTTATAAGTCAGAGTTAGGATCTTGAAAGTGATGCGTTTATGAACTGGTAACCAGTGAAGCTGTGAGAGTAAGGCTGTGACATGGTCAAATTTTCTCGCTCTGATTATGAGTTTTGCCGCCCTGTTCTGCTTAAGCTGGAGGTGTTTTATTTCTTTATCAAATGAACCATGAAGTACAGAATTACAGTAATTGAGACATGACAGTATCAAACAGTGAACAGCATTATGGCAAACAGATTATCTGTGTAATTTCTGATTTGGGCGATATTTCTGAGGTTGAAGAAATTAAAGATGAAATTTGATTCGACATGTTTAACATTCACATGGGTTGTATTACACGTGAGCCACAGTGCACATGGGACCAACGTCTTACATGCCTCTTTTCCTAAAGATGGGGCGCAAATGAAACTTGCATTTTAGCTCTCCAGCTAAAACAAAGAGCAGCAAATGTATTGTACCCAGACAAATATTTATGTATGGATTTACATGGTTCAGAGTGCAGACATAGAGGCCACCACCAGTTTAGCCAACTGAGCTAATCTAATCTGAATTTACAATAAATAAAACAATGCTGTTACCTTGTGGAGCGGATGAGACGCTCCAGTATCAACCGCTTGTCCATCTTGGAAAAGCTCATCGACCCCGGCGTTTCAAAACGCTGACGGATCCAATCGCACTTGTAACGATCATTAATAAACATGTATTCAACACCAATAGATCTGCAATACGTATCCTATAGGATGGTAGTAATAAATATTTCATGTTTTATAAAATGCAAAGGGTAACCATTTATACAGACACTTGAGAATCCAAAACGTAATGAACTTTCATTTATTTGGTGAGAAAATAAAGATTTTAACAATGTTAATGAGGGCGTCTTTAAAGTGCTGAGTTCTGTCATATTTTTTATTGACTGACAAGGCGACAGCTTTTATTCATTTTGAAATATTGCAAAATTATTTTAAATTGTATAGTATTATTACAAACTTTGGTAAGTCACAGCCATGTTTTATATAACAGAATTCATTTTTCAAACATTCCCTTCCACTGGATTTTGTTTCTAACTATTTCTTTAAAAGTTAAGAATCAACAATGTTTTCAAATTTAAGCACTCTTTCTTTTATAGTAGATTTATTTTTTGAGCATAATGTGACACTGTGTTTTTCTTTTCAATCCGTAAGGCTATTGATTGTGCAGGAGTGGGTTCATCATTCCGTAAAATTTGCCCACGCGTTGACCATCTATATGCTATAGTTATGTGTTTATCAACTAAACAAATTGTAAATGCTTACAGAAATTCTGTTTTTAATTTAAATTGTATACTGGCAGGCATAAAACATATTCTAATAAATAATATTGAAGATAATATATTTAAATTGACAAATATTATTCAAATACATAATATATATTTTACACTGTAGTATTTTAAATATAAATTGAAAAAAATTTGGTTGATGTCGCTTGCCACTCTACCTCCAATCGACGAATGATTTCTCGAAGAGGCAACGCTTGCTCGTCACCACCGATGAACGTTGTCCTCGGCAACCTGAAAATACTGTTCATATCTTTCTCATCTATTTACATGATGAGAGAAAACATAAAAAATTAGAAATTATTTAATATAACATAACACATAATTGAGTTGCTGCTTAAAAGAATAACTTAATCCATGTAAAACAATGAAAGGAAATTAAGGACGTTAGTGGGGTAATTTAATTTGATTTAATATTCTTTAGGTTAAGTACTTTAAAAAAGAAGGTTGACTTACAATATTTGCTACAGGTAAGTATTCATGAAACAGACTAATATAATTAACATTACAATGAACACAACTATGAATTGCATATTGTGTATTATAAAAAAAACAACCAGATGGTATATGTGGTATATGTAGTGAAAGCAACTAAACGTATTTCAGAAATTTGGTTAAAAATATATTATTCACAATTTCTTGTTTCCACCCTGGGAGGGACACACATGTTGTAATTAGATAAAGTTCAGGAAATATGACAGAAAGTATTTATTTTATTATGATTTTGTTGTTAAGATGAGTTGCATCTTGGCTAAACATGCATGTGCCCTGCATTGTAGGAAATAGCGAGGGTTTATTTCATTACATGTGATAAATCGTGTTTGGATCCAGTATTTCGACATTAATTATGTCATCATTTGGAATGAACAATTATCCATATTTACATAATTTACAAGCGTACATGCAACAAATACCAAAAGTGTCTAACCAAACAAATGATGATGTAATGTTTTGATTAGTTAGACACATTATGTATTTGTTGTATATAAGCTTGTAGATATGGATAATTTGTTGAAATATTGAATCCCAACACGATGGCCTTTATTTCAATACTTAGGAGTATGTATAATAATTTTTTTAATGGGTTGTCATTACAGATGCCATACAGTACATGTTGTATCAATCGATAACATTGTACTGCCAGTGGATAATCACACCTTTGGTATATATGGAGGTTTATGAGCATTTGTCCTTTTTAGTACAAACAAATATTTTGATTATTGCATGTCAGTAAAAACTACTTTCGAAGCCTTGTATGTCACATGAGCAATGTCATAATCTGAGTCACAAAGGTCACTCTTGCTAACTACAATGGATTTATTATTTTCTCTTTAGAGTGTAATCATTTTCCGGTTGTCTCATTTGCATATAAAATCATTCGTCATACAGCAATGATAAACCTGCATAAATTTCATTGACAAACATGAAAATTTTGAATGTAAAATAGTAGCTTAAATCGGCTTCATCAACTTGATAAAAACATGAAATATTCTATTGACATCAGCTAACAAATTTGATGGCCCTAGCAATTCACATCAAACGTGGTTTAGCGTTAAGTGAACACAGTAGTGTTTACTCCACATGCTTAGACACACCTAGCACATTACCATTTAAAACACTCACCAGGAACACTCAAATTATTGATAAGACCATGTTAGCTAATTCTTTTTCTGCAGTTCTTTGCCAATATGGTGGAATATGCCACTATAATTAATTGAAAAACAGAATCTGGTTTTAATAATTGTTCTATGACGCAATCGATTTGATTTCCTAGCCTCGACTAAAGAATGCTAACAAAAAGGTTCTAATTTAAATTCTGGTCAAAAGAAATGTAGCGATTTTTTTAAATCAAAATATACCCCACTCTCAAAGCCTCAGATCATTAACCAACCATCAAGGGGTCAAACTGATCTGCCTCTCTGGACGCAGAGCCTAAATATACGCAAAGCTGTAGACTATTAAAACCCCAAGTCTCAAATGTAGTCCTTAACTGGAAAAGACTGTATTTGAAATAATAATTACAGTAGGCAGCGGATTTGCATTATTTTCCTTTAAATTGATTTGCCAATCAAATAATCATCATAATTTATTTATGTCAGCATTCTAAGTTCTAATCCTTCACTATTCAGCAGAGTTATAAAATATTGACAAACATCTTGTTTGATTAAAAGCTCAGATCCTATACAAACGGATAGGAAACGATCTCCACTAGCCGCTACGATCCCATCCCTGCAACAATTGGATAATTGCCTCGGCCGAGGCTTGCACCTAACCGCAGGCAGCGTTCGAAGCTTTTAAAGGATGTCACCTATTGTTGAAAATGGTAAAACGTCAGGGGAAAATAAAAAGGCCTATCGACTATCATCTTTAGTTCGTTCTTTATAACACTTCTGTTTCCTTGTAATGTCGGTAGCTGTTAAAGCCATTAAGTGGTATCAATTTCAAGGCAGTTCGAATGAAATCGTTAGAATTTTAACCGAATTATAGGATGCATTTTCAATGCTTGCTCATCAGCAGTGAACTATATTCTGAATGCCATAATAACCCCAAAATCAACGTTAAGATCACTTTTTTTTTTTGTAAATTTTAAAATGTGTATCATAGAATCAGCTAAAATTCTGTTTAATACAATATGCATTATTAAACTTTATGTACAGTAAAACAATTTATATACAAATTTCACTGTGATTTACCGTAATTAGCATGCAATTAATTACTGTAATTATATTTTATGCAGTTAGAAATTTTTCAAGAGATATTGGGTGTGTGCAGATCAGTGATGTGTTATTACCCAGTGTTATTATTACTCTGTAGTAAAGTAGGGTCAGATGTGTTACCGACGTTCGGAGAATAAATTTAACTATAATGTAATGTGACTGATTACTAAATAGGCATGATTAATTGTCTGTGATATTATTTTTTTATTATTATTATTTTTTGGTTGAACTCAAAAAAAAAAAATATGGAGTCATATTAATTTAATTCGTATCGTTTCAGCTCAGGCCTACCAATCAATCAGGTACAGTACTGTGTGCATTGGTGAAATGAGTTTCCATGCTTTTAATGTGCTTTAAAATAGACTAGGACCGGTCTGGTCATCATTTGGGAGTATGGTATTTTCATTAAATAACAAGTTAACATTTCTATATTAGTAAAAGCTGTAACTGTGATCATGTTTAAACATTGTCAATCATGAGTTTTTCGTTCTGTTCTTGTGCAAGCAGAATTTTGTGCATAGCGGTTACTAGTTCTACGGGCATGGGCTAACCACTCTGCTGTTGCTGTAGTTAGGCCTACGCCTTAGATCTAGTCGGCACCATGGAATCTGTAGCAGCTTATTGTCTTCAACAGATAGATAAACATATTATTGTACATGATCAGGTACCGTAAATAATTTATATTATGAATAATTGATTCCTGATGATGACATAATTAATGTCGAAATATTGAATCTCAACATGATGGCGTGTATTTCAATATCTGGAGTATGTATACTTTCTTATCTGAGATTAATCAGTGGACCTTTCAATAATTGTCAGGATCTATGTAAATAGCTAGGCCTAGGCTTATCCACTCCAGCCCACTGACAGAATGTAGCTTCACAGTCTGAGTTATGTAGGTCGTATCCCTAAAATGCCTGCTGGTTAAATAGTAGAACTCCTGGAAAGTCAATTAGCCACTGTACATGCCTATGACAGAGGAAAATGCAGTGTTGCCTATCCGGTTGTATACAGTATAGGATTTGGGATTAAAGACAACAACCTCTCCCCTCTAGTGGCCTTGCAATGCTTATACACAAAGTGATGGAAGTCACTGGAGCAGAGGGAGCTTTCACATTGACCTTGATAAAATGACCTTTAACCTAATGCAACAAACAACCTTTATGTTTTAATATGATCAGTTGGAATTTTTAATATGAAATAGAACAAAATCATGAGACTGCACTGCCACAGCTATGATTCAAATTAACATCACATACAGCAACAGTGTAAAATTTAGAAATTGGGGTGGGAACTGACCTACTTATACAATGACATTTTAAATCTTCAAAGCTAGACTAGGAGAACAAATTTTTGATGTTGCACAGTACAACACAAAAATGGTGTTTGACAAAAAACTCGGGAACAATGAGAAACAGATTTTTGAATATTTAACAAACTGGGGGATAAAAGTGCAAAAAAGGGTGATTATGCCAATTTTCCCCAGTTTTTAAATATTCAAAATCTGTATCTCATTAACTGTTCCCGAGTTTTTAGTCAACCATCATTTTAGTGTATTAGAAATATAAGTTGAACAACATAAAACATTATTTTTCCTCTGGAACCTGGCTTTATTGTGATGTAAGCTAATACAAAACAGTTTTATATGCTGTAAATACATTAATCTTTCATCTATAAGCGGCTGTTCAGTCAAAAATTACGGTGTTTTATAACTGTAACAAACTACTTTATTTGAAAAAGCTTTGCTACTTTCTATGATAATAAACCCACACGTAATCTGCCAAGCTCTAATTAAAGTCTTAGGCATCATTCTGCAAGCTGCACATACGAACATTTTAATCAGATACTATTTATGCACGATCAACATGTTTGTACCGAAACATATGGTTGCAACAGTTTTGATGAGGCTGTGGATGATAAACAGACTTGCAATCATAAATTCACTGCCCCAATCTCAAAATCATTGATTTAAAAACCAGCAGCTTGCAGGTCACAATGTTTAGGATATTAGTAAAATCAACAACATAAGTGATGAGCTTTACTACAGTCTACCAAGCCCTAGATAAGTTCATTGCAATTCAAATAATTTTACAGACCAGCAACATATTTCAGTCATCATACGAATCAGATTCAAATTACAGATTCAACAATGTTTGATGTGATTTTTTTTTTTTAATGAAATAGAGAAATTGTTAAATGTGAAAGTGAGGATATTTAACAGGATAACAACAGCAGCAATCACTGCAAAATTCACCCAACATGCTGCCACATCTAATCAGCTCATGCAAATCACTACTACAGACTAAAAGCACTAAAATTCTAAGCATAGCCTATGAAAAAAATTGTAAATTTACATACAAAGGTAATGGTAATGGTAATGGTTGGAGACTTATATAGCGCATAATACATGGTCTCTATGCGCTCGGGACTAGATGTTGCACTTTACAATAACTTTCTCCTCCCCTAAGGGTCACTTTATGTCTTCAGCAACCAGTAAACCGGCGCACTTTCATCTGTCCACGACAGGGGCCGAATGAACCAGTACACCGGGGGAACCCCCTACTCATCTCGAAAGATGTACTGGGTTCTTTAAAGTGCACATGAGCATTTGTGTACACTGGGCCTACGGTTTATAGTCCTTATCCGAGAAGACTTGTTCCACCACCAGAACTATAGGAGCGAGCCGGCCTCGAACCCATGCCGATATTGTTGGCTATGATCACGGTGCCCCTGCTTTAACCGCTCGGCCATTTGGCTTCGCTCAACTGACTTTCTCATACCCTAAATATACAGTAGTAGTATAATTAAAAATCTGAATAATTTCTATAAAATCGGGCACTCACTGAGCCTGACAGTAGTCAGCTACTGTAACGCGATTCAACGCCACGATGTGTGCGCAACGGATTGTACTTAATGACAATCCGTTTAGACTACCACTGACAATTGGCAGACAGTGTTGCGTTGTAATAAAGCGTAGTGTGTGCCCGGCTATAATGCTAATGGTGAATACAAAATTCTAGTCTATAAACTATGAATTACTATATAAATTGGGCTGATCATGTAGGGCACTAGGCTTACTATATATTCAAGGACTAGAAAATGTCAACAAATGAATTCAGTATGAGCCTGAGTCCAGTTTAGGACAGTACTGTACGTCCAGGTTTTTTTGTAAGGGTGTGCTTCTACTCAGGTTTACCTGTAGCTTATACATGGAAACACTTAGTTAAAGAGGTAAAATTCATAACATTATGGCAGTACAAAAATGTCTCTCATTTTATACCTACTAAAGATCAAACCCCTAAGGAATATAGGAGCTCTGTTGTTTACCATTTTAAATGTCCAGGTTGTAATAGTGATTATATTGGTAAGACAGATAGATGCTTAATAACTAGACTTAAAGAACATTCTTCACAATCTGATAGTGTTATAAATGATCATATACAAAATTGTGAGGCATTCCAATATGTTTTAGGTTTACAAGGTATACTTGAAAATGATAATGTAGCCAGTAATGCAAGTAAAATTAGGTTTAATATTTTCTAATACTAACATTATTGGTCTATACTATTGTTTAAAGAAGCGTTTGCTATACGTACAGTAGGCTACACACATTGTTTAACAATGGGCTGAAAGCTTTTAAAAAAACTTTCTTTGTTTTTGTAGGTAGCTTTGATCAGTAGGGTAAGAATGCTTGATCTTAGTTTATTCATAACTATGTCACCTACTAGGGGTAATGTTTTGATTGGTCAAACACTTTTGGTACTTGTGCATATAAGCTTGCAAATATGGATAATTTTTCATTTCTGATCAGTGGGAAAGCCACTTGACAAATCGAGTCAAATTTCACCTATTAGAGGACGCTGTATTTTTCGAATTTTGTTTCAAATCCCAAAATTTTGAGCCTTTGGAAAACACAGTAATTCATAAATTTCATCGTAAAACGTAACAATTTTAACAGTGGAAGACGTTTAAAAAGCATTGAAATACATGGTCATATATGTTTTATGAATTTTGACTTGCGTGATAAAGTGTAATTTAATGGACAATTCGCAAAACAACACATTTTCGAATTTGTGCTGTAGAAAATCACTTTTTTTACACATTAAAATATTTTGATCTGTATTGAATTTAAAATCCCTTGTAAATAAACTTATTATCTACATTTTAAGACATTAAGATAAAAAATTGATTAGTTGGGACGCTATTCAAACTAAAGTACCTCCATTCTGATCGGCTCGAAACTGATAAAAATCGACATTTGGGGTTTTTTTTGTTTTTCTTGTATGTTCATTATAAATATAATTTGGCCTAATTTGTAATTTTCTATTATAATTTATATATACTTGATTATTTAATTATTTTAAGGCTCATTTGAGTTATAGCAATGTACTTTGCTTAAGCTACCCCTTCCAGCATTTTAACATTTTTTTTTTGTATTGTATTTTATTGTCACTGTAATTGTAAATGTTGGTCGAATAAATAAATGAAATGACTATATCTCACTCTGCTCACAACATCAGGTCACAACTTCGCACAACACAACAACTAGGCCACTAACATAGATTTGCAGACACTCAAAATATACAATGAAACATTGATTTTTTTTCTTTATAAAAAAACAATACAATTTATTTCTTTTTCTCGCTCTGGTTACGATAATAAAACAGTCAGCTTTAAAAACTTGGCAAATGCTAGCACAAAAAAAAAACGTTTTTTATTTTAGAATAAAAAAAATCATACTACTAAGGCTGTACAAATAATGTTGTAAAGTATCATAAAAATAAAATATCATAGGCCTATAAACAAATTTTAAGGCATCCTGTTATTGGCATTTGATTGCTGTTGGATGTGGTTCCTGAAATAAAATAAATAAATAAAATAAATAAATGCTGAATAAGGGAAACAATACTGCATCATTCTAAATTTAAATACTCAGAGAATAAATATTTAAATGATTTAAACCTTAAAATCACTAGGTTTAGAAAGACATAAAAAGACAATATAAGATAACATATATTGAATTAACACTGACAAATTAACAGAAATGACATGACAACTAAATCTGATTCAATAAAAAATAAACATTGGTATACAATAATTAGGCCAAAATAAAAAATATACTTGTTCAGGGTCATTCACCCCACCTACATTTTTGACACAAAATAAAAAATTAAGAGGCAGTAGTTAAAGTAATTTTAAAAAGAATAATAATTTCCAAGAAATGCTATTCAAAATCAGGATATTTTAAATTAATCAAAACAATAACTTCACCAACCAATTGTACCGGTAATATTTATTGTAGGCTTATTAAAAATGATTAATTTTAATAATTTTTGTTTTATTGAAAATCTGACACCATCCTGCTCAGATTTAAGTAATATGTCTGAAGTTGGGAATTTGTGCTCTCCACATGTTACCGCGTACTAAGACGATGCTTGCTTCAACCTATGTCCAACATTCTTGTCAGCAGTTTGAGTTTGTTGAAAAACCTATGATAAAGAGAAAACAATATAATAAAAATGAATACTGTACAAACCAGAAAAAGTATTTGCATTTGCACAAGAGTTTTCCTGCTTTTGTTTGGTGAGTTGTTTGATGCAGATTGTTGTGCAGTAAGTATGCAAGTGCTAGTAGACATTAAACTCTAATTAAAATACTGTATGTATCATTGATTGGATGAATAAAGTGCTTAGTATAGCATATTTCATAATAATAATTAATTATTATTTTTATTATTAAAAGGTAAGATATTACAGTACAGATTACAGTACTGTTATAATAAATACACCAAAATAAATATCAATCACAGTAAATTACTATTTATTAGTCACCGATCCCACCACAGATCTAGGCACGAAAAAATCTATTGCCTCAAACCCACCAAACAAAAATTAAATAGCCTATAGGCCAGAGAGGGTCAGCTTTATCCAAAAAAGAATGGGATAATAAAATACAACTGGCAGCATAGGTCTAATAATAATAAACCTACCTAAATAAACAACATATTTTATTTTAACCACCTAACAATACGATGTAACCGATTATTAAACTGTACAGATACTTCCTAATTACGGCATCCGAGGCTAGCTTATTGAACAGCTAGGCCTACATCACATGTGATGTGCTGATCGAAGGTCTCACACTGCGGGTCGCCAGTTGTCCGAGGCTCAAATAGTACCTACAATCTAACGTGCCAAAGACCAATGTAAAAATTTTGATCTGTGTTCTTATAGGTTACAATCGAATAAACTTATATTAAACTTGACAATTCTGAAGTAAAAAAAAATATTCATTAGTTGGGACGCAAATCCAACTAATCATAAACATGTAAACAAAAAAGTATCAGACCTTACCGATTTTTTGACATTTCTCTAACCCCAACTTCGATCGATGAATTCTTTGTGTTCCTGTCTAGTTTTCCGAAAGAAACCGAGTGGATCGCAAACTTGACTTATTAGGAAATGTTGTTACCATATTAGGTAATTCTGGGAGGTCTCTAAATATTTTTTATCTATTTTAGAACAAGCTTATGTTTATTGGCCAATCGGCGCGAAAACATGGTCACGCATTTGAACGACCGAGGGAGCTGTGATGATGACATAATTATTGTCGAAATATTGAATCCCGACACGATGGCATGCATTTTGATACTTGGAGTATGTATTATACTATCTTATATTATGGGATTGCTTGATGTTTCTAACTTTATTTACTTTACGTCTCTCTACACCTGGGAGGGTTTGATAGCATCAAGTTATAGTCAAAAAAAAAAAATTCAATGCTGAAACAAATATTTTATGTTTACTGTTTGTGGTTTATACTAAATAACGGAAAGGGAATTAAAAAACTATCAGTGAGTTAAAAATGGGTGCAGGAAAGAAAGGAGGAAATTGGTGACCACCAGCTACAGTGAGAAGTGCAAAATATGCAACAGATAAAAGAAACAAAATTAAAATTATAAATCAAAAAACTACTTTTTTAATATAAAGAATAATATAAAAATATAAACCAATAAAACAATAAATATCAAATTAATAATTTTTATTAATAATTAATAAAATATATTGGTAAACACATTTTATAATCTTCGTCCTTACCTAGCTTGTAATTTTGCACTATTAGCTCAGGAGGGGTTTCCGAGTCGAGATCCGCACAGTTGATTCCCAGTGGATCTAGGTTGGCTATGTTATGTCCGCGGATCTAAGAGACGGAAGGCACATAAAACGTGAAACACAATTGCGCATTCCACAAATAACAGTGAGCGATAGTTATGCAACTTAGCTGCCACAGGTTGATTAGTACACAATATTAGTAACAAATAATAATTAGTATTGTTAGCAATAATGATAATAAATATTATATTTATGGTGCAATAATATAGAGAAAAAAAAAAAGGAGGAGAGAAAGATGTTAATACACATATTCTCAGGTGATAAACCAGGGCTAGCGGAAGGTTTTTCAAAGTTCGAGGGGGGGGGGGCCCACTATCATTTCTTTCTGATCATACAAAAATCTGCATACATTATATATTTTCTGCCAAAAAGTAGAAAGCAATGGCTCTCCTGCCCCCTGGTTCCGCCAGCCATGTAAACTAAACTTGAGTGTTAAACTAATAAACCTGAAAAATAAAATATAATGTTTTAGTTTTCATAAATAGACCGAATTGTCACCAAACCAAAGCCGTTTAGCTAGGTGGCAGTTTTTTCACACAATGGTAAGCCTATAAAAACCAGGATATCCACTAATTAGTCTTAAATAAAACAAAAAGACAGTAACTCCGAAAAGAGACAGAGACATTTTGAGATTCAACGTTTCGATCTATTTGATCATTTTCAAGAATACTGGTGAGAAAATACAGTATCACCCATCCATATATGTTTACAATATTTATGCCTCTAGTAAGCCTCTACTGGAGCAAATTTTTAGTTTTTAAACTCCTTAAACTTATAATTTTTACATTTATACTTGTACATTTTATCGTAAAATAACTTATCAAAAAGTCTTGGTAAATATTTCTTTAATAAAAGTCACAGTATTGACCCGTAAAATTTGAAATGTGAAAGAAACAAATGGAACGCGTGAACACAGGCCTAGCCCTAGACTAGAGAGTCATACAAACAACAAATGGAAATTTAAATCAAATCAACTTTAATTTCATGAATCCATGGACCATTCAAAATGTATATTGTTATAAAAAAGTATCTTCTACGCTAACTTCATTACATTTTAGACGATTTAATAGACACCACTTTCGACTCGGCACAATGCATTAGCATCTAGACTTTTAAACAACTTTTAATATCCAATCAGCCAAATTTTAATACCGTCATCTTTGGTGACCAATTTGGTCTATTACCCATCATTTAAAATTTAGAAAAACAAAAAGTTTCTTTGCCAATTAACAAATAAGACAATTCCTAATTATTTTTGCATGGCGTATTTAATGCCTAATAAAACTTCTTTAAAGATACTGTCATGATGAAATAAAAAATCTTGAAAAACTAAAATAATGTAGTTCCTTTATTCTTTGCAAAGACATAAATTTTAGTTCTTACATTAAATTTTGAGTAATAATAATCTATTCTATATGTAGTCAAAGCTAAAGTGTCATTATTAAACCTTTGGTGGATACTTGAACTCCATGTGAGGGTCACAACATGTAACATCCGTGTACACGACACGGAAACAATGACACAGGATTGACGGCCACTTCCTTATTCTGATGTCAAATGATTCACTACAGGCGCAAAAAATAAAATAGAAGCAAGTTTCATTTTTTGAATCCAAATTTTATAGATTTATTCCATAAACATTGGGCATCTATTATGTTTATAAATCCATTCATTCATGTCGTTTAGAGCACATTTACTGTAAGATATTTCAACATTACAAAAATTTTAATATTGTAGGCCTAATGTACATGATTTTTAAGAGCAAAAACAGCTTAGTATGACCCCCAAACTATTACAATTTTACAGTATTCCACAAAAAAAAGTAGGTCTACACAAATCCTACAGTACCATTAGTCAATGCTACAGTACACATGTATTTTCCATATTTCTTCTACAAAAAAAAAAAAAAAAAAAATCATTTTTCTTTTAAGTATTGCTTAACTAGCAACATATGGTTGCTATTTTTAATGCCCACCATAATATTAACCAGTAGCTTTCAAGAGTATCTCAGTATACTCTCCTATAATTTTATATAGAGTTTACAGTAGGTCAAAACAGGATATTAAACATGGAAATTAACATACTAATTTCTTATGAAGTCTTGTAAACGTAAGGACTGAACAGTGAGAATGCCAAAACAAAAGCCATGCAGATACAGTATTATACCATAAAAACTGTTGATCCTATATTATGAAAAGTGATTAATTCCCTGCATCAATACATAGACCTTAAAGCCCCATTCCCGGCAAAATTTCAATTTTTAAGAAAAATCTAATTTTCGTATAATGTTATAAAGATTTATAAATATAATACGGAATTGCTAGTTTAACTGAATTTAGACATTCCTAAGAATGTAAAAAATGTAAAGTAAGACTGAAATTTGATTTTTTGTGTTCCACACAAAAAATAAATGCGGATGAATTTTTCATGTTGATTTTGCGATAGGTCGTGAGAAGAAATATCGTAGGCGCCGAAAACATTAGCCTATCCAACGCTGCTAGGCTAGGCCTAGCC